TCCAACTGCGCGGCGGCCTGGTCCGTGGCGGCTTACTACTACTACTACTACATTTTTTTGCAATTGAACGCTGCGCGAGCGTGCTCTGCGCTTGGCGGGCGTAACTACAACTACAACTACAACTACAACTACAACTACAACTACAACTACAACTACAACTACAACTACAACTACAACTACAACTACTACTACAACAATTACTACAATTACTACTACTACTACAACTACTACTACTACTACTACTACTACTACTACTACTACTAGTACTACTACTGCTACTAGTACTAGTACTAGTACCACTACAAGTACCACTACTACTACTACTACTACTACTACTACTACTACTACTACTACTAGTACTACTACTGCTACTAGTACTAGTACTAGTACCACTGCAAGTTAAGTACCACTACTACTACTACTACTACTACTACTACTACTACTACCACTACTATCTACTATCTACTACTACTACTACTACTACTACTACTACTACCACTGCTACTACTACTACTACTACTACTACTACTCCTACCACTCCTGCTCCTACTCCTGCCTCTACTCCTACTCCTGCTCCTACTCCTGCTCCTACTCCAACTGCAACTTTAACTCCCACTCTTGTTCCTGCGCTCCTGCTCCTGCTCCTGCTTCCCCGCCCACTCCCACTCCCACCTCCCACCCACACCCCCACCCCCACCCCCACCCCCACTCCCCACTCCCACTCCCACCACTCCCTCCCACTGGACTGTGCAGTATGCAAGTTTGAGAGCTTTGCAACTTTGACATTGCTATGTCAGCAAACACGAGCACAACGAATCGAAGCAAGGGCAGGACCCTGCGCACCTTACCCTGCCCCGATACTCGACGGAAGAGAGTGTAGGTGGCAATCCGAGAGGGTCGCCCCGAGCGCTTCGGGGCCAAGGCCTTGCGAGGTCCGAGGTCTTACCCCACGTGCCACGAAGTTTGTTGGTTGCCCTGAGTTGGTCCGAGTTGTTCCAAGGCTCGAAATCCGTCGTGAGGTTTTTTTGGTTTAAAACGCATGTCCAGAGCCCCGCAGAGCGTGAATTCGCGGCAAGGCCCTTGGGGTGTAGGCTTTTCGGCAACTTGGGCTCTGGCAAGGACTTGTGACATGCGAAAATGCGGTGCACCTCACACCCTGTTTGTGAGTTGCTATTGAAGCCCTAATGCTTCCGACAACTCTGAGTCGAATCGGCACTGAACGAAGAACGAAATCCCGAGTAGCAGGCATACCGAAGCCTCGACCGAAAGCTTAAATACGGACCCTTACAAGTCAAACGACTTTCGATGTCACTGCTGCGGCCTTCCACGACGACATCGTTGGGCCACTTGATGCCAAACTTGTGCGCACCATCTGTGGCCCAAAGCAATGTGTCTACGGCCGCCACAGCCAAGACCTAGGTTGTGCAGATCGTGAAGCAGAACAACGTTCCTCTTCGACAGAGTGTTTTTTCTGAGCCAACACTCGTCTAAGCATAAACAGACAATGCCATCAAAAGCCTGAGCGCCTTGGTCACGTTGGGGGCATTCGAGTTGACAAAGTCCTGAGTTCCGGTGCGAAGACTTTAGCAAATCAAGGTGTACAACGTCATATCGGGGGCGCATCCAAACGAAGTTAGAATGCAGTGCTTTGGTAGTTTCCGGAGGGGTGGGTGTTGGTTACGGTGTTTACGCAGGACTTAGGGCTTCTTTCGTCTTGTGCCAGCTGCCCAGTGCTTGGAGATTTCTGGGTGCAACCCAAAGTCCGGTATAGTGCAAACTGAATTCCGTCCAAAAAGCTAAAAACCAAAAAAGGTCTTGCTACGTTGCTCCTGGGATCGTCCGTCTGCTCAGCAGGGAAGCGAAAGAAAAACGAGGCCATCACACTTTGGGCCTCTCCAAGAGCCCAAGAGTGCTTGGGACGTTAGAGTTGTGCAGAGCTGGAAAAAGCAGGCCAAGGCCTCAAACACAACGGTACACTAGTCTGTCGGTGCACCTTCGTCGCATGCCAGCTCCGCCCGCCAGTGCCACGGCCTGCCGTTTGGAAGTTCGCAGTCACGGCCGTGAGCTTCTCCTCGAGGCTGAGAACGCCATGCTCACCCATGCTCAAGATTCAAGATGACTCAAGTCAAGCTGAGCTCCTGATTGAACTTCTCGTGCTCCCGCTCGATGAAACTCTGGGTGGAGTCGATCTCCTCCCGCATTTGCTACATCTGCTCTGCAACATGTCTCTGCCAAAGATGGGGCCTTGTGAATCCGTGCAAAGGTACCAACCAGGTAGGGTGATGGAAAAGAGGGACCGTCTGCCCCAAGTTCCGTGTTGCGAAGCTCAAATGAAACACCAACCAGGGAGCAAGGTCGGGAGGCAGTGGAGAGGTCATGGAGGCTCCGAGACGACGGCAGCTTGCGATTGGATCGGGGGGTTCAATGCTTTTGGAATGTAGTTGTGAATCAAAGGCAACGGCAAGCTGGCCGAAAGTGTCAATCATCAACAGTGAGACCAGTCATACTTTGCAATGCCAGCACTTTCCACTGTCGCGGTGGTCCTCGAAGTGTCGGTGATCGACCCACTCATCCAGGAGCTTCTCAAGAGCACAGTCGGGGTGTGGGTTTGCCTGACTATGCTTGGCACGGCGAACGTCTATAGAGCAATACCTTGCAGCCCTGCAAGCAACGAGCCCTCGGATCTGGGTAGCTGCAGTCTCACAACTCGTTTCGCCACGGAAAAGCAAACTGACGGAACCCTGACAGCTGAGAAGCTGACCATGTGCGGCCGGAGATTGGCCTTTGGGCTCTGTGCTGCAAAACTTTTCTTGGGATGTGATGTGGCTAAACGTGCTTAGACCTGCTCACGCAAGCCGCGGAATGGCAAGTTCATGACTGTTGGTCGACTCGTCAGCAAAGGTGCTGGGCCCCTGGCAGTGTGCCGAAGTAGCGATGCCCTGGTCTAGCTTCGGGTTCGGGTATTTTGGAAGTGATCGAAACGAATGGGATAATGGGATCGCACCTAAAGGCATGATTCCACGTAGACATACCCAGCTCTGAAGAGATGACACGACGTCTTGAACCGCAAAAAAACTCCTGCGCAGCTTATATATGTACGAATTGACATTTTGGCGGGCCGGGAATCCAGAACTTTCACCAAGAGCTCTGTATTGTACCCGGGCGCATTGCTAATATCGCGAAACGAAGGCCGGCAACGAAGCACATGCAACGAGTTCTCAACGAGCTCACCAATCCGCTTCGATGCATCTTCAGACCACGCAAAGGGGACAGACGGCTTACATTGACCACCACCTCCTCCTGCTGCTGCCACTGCCGCTGCTACTGCGCTGTAAAAGGCTGTGTGAGCTGTGAAAGCTCAGAAGGCTGAACTAGGTGTCAAAGGCTCGTGACTCGCCAATTGAGGAGCCATATGATCGAAAAAAACGTGCGGATGCGGTCCACGGTATCAAGAGCTCGAGAACCTTTGTTGAGGCCTGTTACGACCTCGATGGCTTCATGTTCATATGCTGAAGTACTCCCGATCGGACTTCGAGCTCTTCCCATTTGCACTGTCTTGGGATCGAGCTCCCGAGCACATGGAGCGACATGAACTCCCAAGCAAGACAGAGAGGAGCGTCGACCCCGTTCGCAAGGGACTTCGGCCCGATCCTGGGCACTGAGAGAACAGAGTGGCTGCACACGCCATGTGAATTGTCACGGACGCAGAAGGGCAGTGCATCGCCATCGGTTTCCTGCATGCTCCCAAGCTCCTTCCCAACTCTACAGCATTGTGGATTGGCACCAGACAGGTGCAGACCAAGGAGGAGGGCTTGTGTTGGAGCGCGGCTCAGCAGAAACTTGTGATGCAGTCCAAGAAGTGACATCTTTCATGCATGTTCAAAACATGTACCCATCAGAGAGGGATGTTCGGTATCCCCAGCCTGACAGGGATCCCATTTCAGCTCCTTTTTATTACGCCTGCTCGTGCTCTGTAGTCATACTCCTACCCTAGACCTCCTCTTCCTTCTCCTCTTCCTCCGCCTCCTACTCATCTACTACCGCTCGCCTACTCCTCCTCCTCCTTCTCCTTACTCCCCCTGATCCTCCTCTTCCTCCTTCTCCTCCTTCTCCTCCTTCTCCTCCTACTACCCTACTGCTTTCTTTTGCTTGCCGGGCATCCGCTGAACACCCAACACAGGGAAGACGCGCAAATGCAGACGAAGGGGACCCCGACGCCGCGAGATCTTGCTCTCAGACTCTAAGAATTCTTCGGCCGTAGGTTGCTCTAACGCGTGTGCCACTTTCAGGCTCCAAGGAAAGGCTCGGCTAGGTTACGTGTTGTTGCCAGTGGGTGGGGATCTCGACCAAAACGCCGGGCCTGCGCCTTAGCCGTGAGCGCCGGAAGAGGCGCATCCATCAGACTTCAGAGCCGAGTGATGTCCAGGGCACGTGTTCTTGCTGAAAGTTTTCCGACTACATCTTTTTTCCCCCCCTTTCACCGTCATGGCACAAATCGGATCAGATGACCAAGAACTCCACATTTTACCATGATGGAGTTGCAGCAGCAAATGGTGGTGTCTGCAGCACAGGGTTGCAACAATTGACTGTGTCTACCGGAAATGCATGCAGGGTCGGATTGCTACCGCTGCAGCTGGTCAGTCGGAGTTCAAGCCGCTCTCAACTCGAAGAAGACATACGGTCCATGCTAGACACTGGGTGCCGGAGTAATTGTGGCTCTTAGCGTGCAGCGATGCCCTGGTGGACGTTGAGCTCTTCTCAGACCACCTGGCAATGTCCTGTAGGCAACACTACCCACTCTCCAAAACGCCTTCCAGTCGGACAGCCAACACACATACAGCACCAGTAGCATGAGATGTTTGATTCTCATAGCTCTCATTCATCTACATCTACTTACCTGTTTAGATACTCCTTAACCAGTACCAACTCGAAATTGTTGGTTGGAGCTACGGCGGCGGGTCGAGGACTATTTCGGCTGGGCCTTGATGATGTGCACAGTTTACAGACAGGAAGGGGATGGCTGGCTGCTGCTCCGCTATCGATTAGACTGCCAGACCATCGCAACCCGCCAACATCCGCCAACTGCATCAGGATGAGAGTATTCCCAGATATGTACCCTATACCTACCCCAACACGAACTCCGAGTGCCCTGACATTTCCGTGGCTCGCTCCCTTTTTCCTTTCTCAAGCGACTTGGGAGGGAGGAGCAGCCCACCCGAATCGCATCACCTGCACAGGACTCAGATGCAAGTTTGACCTGAGCAAAAACAAAGTCAAAGAAAGCTCGGAGCCGCCAGAAAAGCCCATGACCAGCGATGCATAAGACTCCCAAACACATGCAGCAACCGCGCGCAAAGGCTTACGAGTTGATGCACACCGAGCGATGTGTACAACGAACAACCTCACCATGCTGCTACCGGGTCACAAAGACGGATGCATTGTCGCTGGAGCCACCTTCATGGGCTCTGGCACCCACCTCCTGGAGCAGACAGGGAGTTTTTGACCACCACGATCTGTGTCAAGGGCATCACTGGGTGCCCTAAACATGTCACCTCGCACCGAACAGGGTTCAGGTAAGTCCAAACCAGACTGGCCTGAGCTGCAACAACAGCGCCCTTACGTTCCACTGCCAGCACCTGCCGACAAGAGAATCTTGACTTCACTGCGACATCTCCACAAAATCATTGATGGCATTCAGCTGGCAGTTGAAGTAAGACGGTCTGCATGTGAACCCTGAGCCGAACGAAGGTTGAACAAGCTATCTTGACACGGTGCCTGACCAAGCGTTGGCGACGAGCGTGTTCGTTCAAATAGTGTCCGTTTTCTTCCCTGCAGGTATTCACACCATTCCGACGAAACCCAGTAGCCGAAAAACTGGCTGGGGACAGGGGCCAACAGCAACTGACTCACCAGTCCCAGCGAATAGAGACTACCGACTTTTCAAATTCAGTGAAAACCTACCATTTCAACCTGCTCTTATGCCCTCATTCTTTCCCTAATCATTCTAGTATTCGACGTGGGCGTTGCGAACAATAAGGCCCAGCTCTCTCTCACACACACACACACATGCTCGGAGTACCGTTTCAAGTTTTTGTTTCTCGAAATTGTTCTTGATCGGCATTTATTGTTCTTGGAAGTCCCCCCGAAGTCCACAACGCCTCAGGACCTGAAATGAAAAGTTTGTTTCTTACACAAACACCTCGATCACGCCTGCGCGATATTGCTCAACTTATGCCGGGAATTTTCACCAAAGTAGGATAGCTCGATTTCATTCGGCAAGGGACATGCCTTTGAGCAACAAACCTGCAGAGCAAAAACTTGCTTTAGCAAAATACCTGGGGCCCCGCGTGGGGCCCCGCGAACAAAAACCGCTTGATACTTCCATTCTCCACACCCGACTTGCATCAAGCTCGGCTTCCGAGGCAGATGTGCCAGTGTTTACAAGCATTTCAATATCACGTGCTGATTATGTGTGTGAGCGTGAGTTCTGTTCTGAAACTATGATTGTTTTCGTTGATTAGGACTGTCCCTGTTAATACCGCCTTTTTGCCACCTTGTTCGAATGTTACCGACAGTATGGTGGATGAAGGCAACGCGTGCGTCAATATGTCATGGTCAATAGGGGTTTTAATCGTAGTTATAGTATTGCATTGCAACCGTCGCACAGAATCCGAGTGCTTGACGAGGGAAGGCAGTGCACTGCTGTTGCAATTACACCGGCCGTTCTGTGACGGCGACATCCTTTTGATGCCCCAGCTTGCTAGTAAACTACCTAGTCCATGGCATCGAGCTCAAAACCTCCGGCTGGTTCCGCGGTCGCTTCATCATCAGACTCCACCAAAATTGGAGCAGCTGCAGAACCTGTTCCCTGACTCTGACTACTTGAGGAAACCGAGGAAGTGCGAAGAAATTGCTGACGATTGTCGCAGTGTCTGGTATGAAAAAGCCCACTGCTATCCTCGCATGTTCGGCAGCAGCTGACATGGCCCAGTCCAGAAACTCGCATACACCCCTGCGCTTGCGTCTCTGGCATGCAGACCAGTCTTCCTCGCACCTGTTGGTGTGGCCGCCTACAGAGCACAAAGAACAGCAATGGCGATGCTTGCTACGCTTGTATTCTCGACCACAACCAGGCACCTCACAGACACGACCACGACGAGGCTCAATGATAGTCTTCATCTGAGGCTGTTGAGGCTCGCGCCGTCCTGGGTTGTCTGAGTCGTCAGGAGGTTGCGCCGACCAGGCTTGTTTCGCCAGCCAACAGCGCCCTCTGAAGCTGCAAAACGCATGCCACGAGCATCGCCAGTCAGCCCAGCCATGACCTCAGAGCATAGAGCTACACGGGACAAGCAGGCTGTGAATCAGGCGTCTGCAGTGATGCGATGCATTTGGGGCGGCCAGAATGTTCCGCTGCATGATTGGCTTAGCATTGCAGCGCAGCACGGCTTTCCCTTGGCCGAGCAAGTGCAGGTACCCCTCCTTCTGGTATCCCCGGAAAGGCGCAACTGACGTACACATCTCAACTGCACTTGAAAGAAGAGTAATGTAGTAGCAGCGTACAGGCGGATATAGCAGGGGGGAGGGAGGGGCCACTAGCTTACTGAGAGGTCTGCATCCTCCTCATTCTGACGCTGAAAATAGAACTGCACCGTCTCGGGCCCACATTGACAGAGAGTGATGCCCTCCGGGAGAAACTGCTCTAGCAGTGCCAGCAATTCACTCTCCTCCTGTGCAATGGCTTGCATGTGCATGGGCAGTGACAGCGACCTTGCCATGCTGCAGTGCCGACCTAGGCACTAGGCTATACTTACTCGTCGGACGGCCTAGGTCGGCCGTTTGATGGAACTGCACATCAGGTAGTGCAGTTCAGCGCCCGCCAGGAGCTTACACCTTTCCCGGTTCGGTTGCAGAATCGCACCAATGTCTGCTATGTCAATAGCACGCTACAGGCTCTGCTTTGGATGGCGGAAGTTTCGGGCACCACTTGTGGTAGCCTGCAGCCAGGACGGCGTATTATGAGCACGCCTAAACCCTTGCATCTGCCAGACTGTTTACCGCTGCGCCACTTGTTTGCCAGCTGGTGTGAAACACATCAGTTGCATCAACAACAAGATGCAGGAGAGTTTTTGGCTCACTGCCTGTACATCGCACAGGCTGAGGCCTGGCAAGGAACATGGGAGTCTAGATTGGATAATCCTCATCGGGTTGTTGATTCAGGCACGCTCCTGCAGGCCATCACCCTGCCAATGGAAGGCCAGGGGCTGCAAGCACTTTTGGACAAGTGGCACGGCCAATATGCCCTCCATGCCGTGAGAGCACACAGCGGCCTAGTGTTCATGCAGCTTCAGCGTTACACTCGTGCCGGCAGCAAGAGTCATTCCCAGTTGCGCATTCGGCCAGGCGACTCAGTGGCTCTCCCGGTGTTTGAGGGGCATGAGGGCCTTGGGGTACGTCATGAGGCCTTCACCATCGTGGCTATTGTGTATCACCCCACGTAGTGGCCATTATAAGACAACAAAGCACCCCAAAAAGGCCAAGTCCAAGGATCTTATGCAGGTAGATCACAATGCCTATCTGATTGGCCTCATGCGAAATTCATTGTAGTACAGTCCAGGGCCGCAGGGAGGGCCCGCAACCACAACACTCCCTGCCGATCAGAGCCTCTCGTGACGCCGAAGCGCGTGTTCACGAGCCAGCAAAAGAAAGGCTCCATCGATTCAGCATTGTTCTTTTCTCCATTTGCACACATGTACACTACCGCAGCTGCTCCGGCAACCGCTCCGAGTGGAGAGCTAGTGGGTCTAGGTCTGGCCCACATGCGCGTAGGGAGCGCGCCTCTCCAATACCAGTGAAGGCCTCACTTTGCGTTCGCACTCTTGTCTTGCATAAGCATATACGGGCACTGTGATCATCCATCGAAGCAGTGTAGCTGCCGACCGTTTTCGCCCGCAGCAATCCCTCTTCGGCTAGACTGCGGGCCGATCCGGTAGGTGGCGTTACTCAGCGCAAAGAGGGTGGAGTTGGCACACTGCTCATGCGCACCACGCGCCCACATAAGCGACTCTGGGTAAGGCTCTAGGGCCGTCGCCAGCCGTTCCGACGGCACGGGAACCCGACATGCAGCGGAAAATCTGAGTCAGCGCGCCAATAAAAGTCCTGCAGGACACTGGAGGAAGCCAAGGTACGCCCACACCGTTGCCACCATGGCCCGTTCTGATCTCGACGGGTCCAGTCGCAGTACGGTACTGCCAAATATGATTCCTCCAGTGTCTTGGCGAGGGGTGATTTGTGCGCCCTCTCCGGCCTCCAGCGTACGCCCTTGAAGCTTCACGATCGCGTTGCCACTGAGTGTTTTCATGGCCTCGTAGCATTGATCGCTGGCCCTTCCCCTCAGGCTCGCTGCAGCATCATCGGCACCACTTCCATCGTGTACTTCTCCTGCAGGTGCAGCTGCTTCGTGGAGGCGAACTTGGTGAGGACACCCTCCTTCGGCAGGTTCTCCACCAAAACGTCGATCAAGCGGAGGGCCTCGCTGTGTTTGAGTGGAGGACAGTCCGCCACCACCTGCTTCTTCTCCTTGGGGTCCCAGGTGTGGTAAACCCAGGCCGGGTTCAGCGCCGACTCCGTCTCCACACGCCACCCCACTGAGTGGCATCTCTTCAGCTTCTCCTCGTCCTGCATCACTTGCTCGGCTCGCTCGCGGAGGTCTTTCATCATGGAGAGGGCCAGGATGGTCTTCAAGGCCGTCTTTACTTTCCCCTGCGTGTAGAGGTCCACCCATTCCTGGGCAACTCCGTGCAGCATTGCCACGCAGCCCAGCTCGGACGCGTCGCAGAAAGCGATAAAGCCCACGTCCGGCCGAAGCCTCATGAGCTCTTGCTCGTGCCGTACGGCGACCTTCACCAGACTCTTGATGAGTTCTTGAGTCTGGTGACTCTCTCCGGCCGTCCCTTTCGGCTCCTGCCCTGTGCTCTGCCACTGGCGCTTGCCGCGGTTGCCCTCGCCCCACGACTCCCAGGAGCTGTAGGACGGTCCTTTTCCTTTTGCCCCGTCCTTCCTCCACTTCTGTGGCCGGTCTCCGTCCTCCTGCGCCTCCTCCGCTGGCGTCTCCTTGGACTTCTCGGCTCCCGGTCGAGAGGCTGCTTTCCCCATTACCACTTCCATCTCCTGGCGAGCCAGCTCCGCCTGGGCAGCATCAGAGGGCCGGTTCAGGAAGACACTGGCAAGAGAGGCTTGAAACGCGGCAATGCAAGTGGTAAGGTGACGACTTGCGTTCTGAGTGGAGGCCCCACACAGTAGAGGCAGGGATTGGCAGCTGTTAGGCCCAAACTTCTGCATTGCGAAGCCGCTGCATGCTGGTGCTGCCAATACTCTGGATGCATGCGACGCAGGTGTTGCTTCAGGCGCGAACCCCACTGACCACAGACAACGCAGTGCTGACGGAGTGTCTTGTTTGTGTCTGAGGATTTCACTACCTGCCTCCAGTCGGTGCGAACCTGCTGTACAAAAAGGTCGTCTTGCATAAGGATCGCATGCACATCAGGACTGGGTGTCACCTGCAGAGACTGACACCTAGTCAGCTCCGCCCGCTGCACGGGTACCTGTGCCGCAGCAGCGGTGGTGACACCTGAAACAG